CCCTCCCTCCCTCCTCCTCCCTCCCTCCTCCCCCCTCCCCCCTCCAAGTTCAAGCGCAGGTGAGTGACAACCCCAGGAGGTGAGGTGTCCTTAATGTGAGTGTGCTTCAGTGGGACCAAAAGCCTATTTGGCGGGTTATGTGAACAACTCTGTGGTCTTGGTGCCCAGCTAAGCCAGGGATTGTTAGTGGGTGTAATGATAAAGCCCCTCTTCCCTATGGAGGGACCCTTTTCATGGGCTTTTCAGAAAAGAGGTGATAAGCAGAGTTGCCTTCAAGAGATACTGGAGGTGTGAACCCTCCGGCTCTGGAATCTTCCTTCCTGCCCAGGAGTCTTGCTGTTTCTGTCATTTTTTCCCCTTTGCTTTTCTCCTGTTCCAGGTGCACAAGCTGGTCTGTGCACTCTCCTTGTAGAGAGGCGGGTCTGAGGGTAAGGCCGCTTTAGGGAATCATGCCTCTAGACAGTTTTGTTTGTTTGTTTGAGACAGGGTCTCTATGTAGTCCTAACTGTCCCAGAACTCTTTAGGTAAACCAGACTGGCCTCAAACGCAGAGATCTTTCTATTTCTGCCTCCAAAGTTTCTGAGATTAAGGGCATGTGCCACAATGCCTGGCACCCCTAAACAGTGTTTGAGGCAATCTGCCTATGCCTCCAGTCTCAGACTGAAATCCTAACTGAACCTGGTGAACAACTGGGTTCCCCTGAACCCTCCTTCAGTCCGATCCCCTTCATGTGAACTTGGGTGGAGAGATGGGGCTCCCAATAAGGAGAAATACTCTATTACCCCACAGCTGTCCGGGATCCCAGAGGATCTGCCATAGTGGTGAGACTCCAGAGCATTCTGGAAGGTTCCAGGCTAAAAAGAACTTCAGGCAAAAGGAGTATGGTGATAAGAAGGGTGTTTGCTCAGCTAACGTGAGGCAAACAATTCTTCCTTAAGAGTTATCTGGTGGCACGCCTGGCTTAGTGGTGCACACCTTTCATCCCCAGCACTCGGGAGGCAGAAGCAAGCTGATTTCTGTGCAATTTGAGTCCAGCCTGGTCTACATAGTTCTAGGCCAGCCAGGGCTACATAGAGAGACCCTGTAAAGGTACATGGTGGTGCAGGTCTGTAATCCCAGTATGTCCTTGGCCAAGGTAGTAGAGTATAGAACTAAAGGTCAGACTGAACTACCTAATAAATTCAAGGCCAGCCTGGGCTGCTCTTACAGGGACTAGGAAGCAGAAGAGAGAGCTGTGTAGAATAATTGGCTTTGCTTGATTCTCTCATGCAGTCTAATGGAGACTGTCTTTGGGGTACTGGGGGGGGGGGCTTTATACAAACTGGATTAGCCATGGGTAAGAAGAGAAAATAGAAACTCCGGCTGCAGTGGTGCATGCCTTATGCTGGTGAGTATCTGAGTTCGAGGCCAGCCAGCTCTGCAGAGTGAGTTCTAGAACGGCCAGAGCTACGTGGATAAATCTTTCTAAAAAAAAAGGGGGGGGGAGGGTAAAGAAAGGGTCAAGAAATCACACTTCAGATAGGACCTGGGCCACAGATAAAAAATCAACAACAGTCAATCTGATTGGTGCCTTTGGTCGCACTGCCCCTCTTTGCTCCAGTTAGAAGACTTGGCAATCTCGGTACGGGTGAGGAATTGGGGGGGAAGTTCCTAGCAGGGATTTCACAGCTCACTGGGGTTGGAAGGAGTGGAAGGACTAAGAGGGCCTTTTACTGTGCGTGCCTGAGGTGAGGCTCGGGGTTTGGGACCGTCGACTGCTTCCAATGATTGTCGGTCAAGGTAGGAAGGTTGGCCAAATATTTAGGAAGGCTAGTTAGCATCTTAGCGCCCTTAGGCCAGCAATTTGCGCGGCACAGAGTGTCCCATTTGCAGCTTGCTAATTCAAAGTTTCTTAGCACTCCGAAGTCGCAGAAACTTGTTCTGGGCGGCTGTTACTGGCCTGACCACCACGGCATCTCAACGCCTTAGCTGCAGACACGCCCACGTGGCCCGCCCACTAGGCCGGAGCCCCAGCTGCACTTTCACCTTGCTGAGGACTGACTCCCGCGTTTTGTGTCCGCAGGCTGCTGAATCGAATGTCCTCGGAAGATCGGCACCTGGGCTCCAGTTGCAGCTCCTTCATCAAGACGGAGCCATCCAGCCCATCGTCGGGCATTGATGCCCTCAGCCACCACAGTCCCAGCGGCTCCTCAGACGCCAGTGGTGGCTTTGGCATGGCCCTGGGCACCCACAGCAACGGTCTGGACTCGCCGCCTATGTTCGCAGGTGCAGGGCTGGGAGGCACCCCGTGCCGCAAGAGCTACGAGGACTGTGCTAGTGGTATCGTGGACGACATCAAGTGCGAGTATGTGATTAACGCCATCCCCAAGCGTCTGTGCCTCGTGTGCGGGGACATTGCTTCTGGCTACCACTATGGCGTGGCCTCCTGCGAGGCCTGCAAGGCGTTCTTCAAGAGAACCATCCAAGGTGCGTGGTGTGGGCAGTGCAAGGCCTGGATTCAGGCCGTGGGCGGGGACTCTGGCCTCCTGGACTAGCATGGTTTATTTTCTTAAATTCAGATCTGGGTTCCCAGGGAGCAGAGGCGGTCTGGAGGACTCCTGTTTGTGTCTCTGTTTCTCAGTAATGTATTCTAGGCAAGGATTCTAACTGTAAGACCATAGGTAATACTGGGCTCCTCCCTGCTGCACCCCTGAAACACCATAGCAAAATCCATGCCCGTACCTAATCTTGAACGGTCACCGTGTGTACTGCCAAATGCTTGACCCCTCCAAAAACTTATTGTGGGGTATGAAAATAGGTGTTAGCGTCGTTGCTCCATCGTTCCAGACTTAGTGAAATATGAAGAGCCTTTCTGGTTTTATCTTAATTGTAGAAAAGTAGGCCTGGGTACCGGAACTGGCTGGGGGGGGGGGCGGGGGTGGAGATCCTGCTGATTTTAGGCAATTTCTCAATGCATTTGCATATCACTTGGGTCACGTGCTTGTAGCCCTGGGGTGGTCACCTCTTTCATCTTGATTGTGGTGTTCAGGAGTCCTGTTGCCTCCCTCTGTGTAGGTAAGTGGAGGATAATGGTGGACCGGCCCTCACTGGGCAACTTCCTTTATAGCCCGGAGGGACTGGGAGTGACTCTTAACTGGATTTAGTGTGGACCACTTAGCTTGCATTCAGGCAGCCAGGCTTCCTATGGAGCACCTCCTACACTGTTCACACAGGTACCTGGAATATACTGATTCCGGTCAGCGCACACTGCCTGTCAGCTGGAGGAAGGAAACCCAGGGGTGTTGCCTGTCTCTCCCAGTGTGGTTCCTCACCCTGTGTCCTGCCTCTCGGCCTCAAAGGTGTTCTGTTCCCGTGTTCTTCCTTGACCACTTTGGAAGAAGTTGGCCAGGCTTCCCTAGGGTGATTCTGTTTATTCAACAGATTTTTATTTGTAAATCTCATCCGATAATGATCTAGTAGGCCAGTTGAGGGCATTAAATGCTTGCCACGGCACACACAGAGGAGTAGATTGTCTCCTACTGTGTGGGTCCCTGGGATGGGGCTCGATCATCAGCATTGGCTATAAGTGTGTTTAACCTCTGAACCGCCTTGCTGGCCCCTAGCTTAGACTTTTCACAATCTCTCCATACACTTTGACCATGAGAATAAGTGTAGTCTGTTTGGTCGTAGAGGAAAAGCTTAATATATAATATATATTATATATAAAAATATACTTTCTTTCAATATATAATATATAATCAGTATATATTGAAAGAAGGTAGTGTGATTGTTTTGATCTAATAAAATTTAGATTATTAAACTATTTTAGGGCCTCTGAGATTGCTCATTGTGAAGAGCCTACCACCAAGCCTCATGACCAGTCCTTGTAACTCACATGGTAGACGACTCCAGACCTCCATGTGGGCACTCCAGTGCTCATGCCCGTACTCATGCACACAAACTAGAGTCACCGTAATTAGCTCTGTGTGGTGATGGATATGTTTTGGTGTTTTGTGACAGGGTCTCACTGTGTAGCCCCAGCTCGCCCAGAACTCAAGAGATCCACCTGCCTCTGTTTCTGAAGTGCTGGGAGTACAAGCATACACTAATATGTCTGGCTTGGAATAATGTTTTAAGCAAACCTTTTTAAAATTTTTTAAAATTAAAACATCCAAAATGTTAAACAAGCGTTTGTAAGCCCCACCCTCCTGCCTCCCTTATCTTCCTTGGAGTCTTCTGGCCGTCCCATTCTGCAAGTGTGTATTGACCATCTTGTATGCCAGGCTCTGAGACAGATGAATGGCTCCAGGCCTGGCTGTTCTGTATTCCCCTTTAGGTGCTGGGGTGAAACCCAGGACCTGGTGTGTACTGGGCACCTGCAGCTTTATAACCCTCCCCTTGGGTGAAAGGAACCTGAGCTCTGAAGTACGTTGTGTGGCAGACAGTTCCGTCTATTGCTTCAGCCCACTGAACTCCTACGGCTCAACCGTTATTTGCCCCATATGAGATGTTAAAATCCGTGTTACTGAAACCCCAGGTTTTTCTTCCTAAACTGGGAAGTGGCCTTGCAGGCTCCTTTTTTTAGACATAAGTTTTTTGGAAATGAGATTTGAGGAGATGTCAGCATGTTTTTTTTTTCCCCCTTTTCATGGTGACTTTAAATGGAACAGGAATGTTCCAGATCAGATTTTCTAGAAGCCAAGGCTGCTGTGTACAGACCCAGAGCCTCTGCCACCCTCTCACCAGGTGGCTAGGAGTGTCTTAGGACAGATCTGCGAGCAGTATTAATTACAGGCTACCATGAAAAGGATACAGATCTCTTCCTAGAAGTTGGCTGTGTGCTGTGGCTCCTTATCTCTGGGAGAGGTCTGAGCTCAATTACCTGGTGGGAGAGTCTTCTCTCCAGAGCCCGGGAAAGGTAGCTGGAGGCCTGAAGTTGGCCGGATGCTCTCCTTATTAACTCCTTGGTTTCCGATCTAACAAAGATCACAATCGCCACCGAGCCCTAGCAGGCTAGCTGGTCCCCTGTCTCTACCGCTCAAGTACTGGGATAACAGGAATTCTCCGCCATAGTTGTTGTTATTTCTGAATGCAGTCAAACAGCGAAAGAACGAAGTAATCACTTAAGATCCTGCTCTGAGTAAAATGCAGAGTGAAGACAGGAGAATTAGGGGTATGGATCGTGTCTCTAAAATAGCTGAATTCAGTGCTGAGAGCCCAGGGGTCTGCAGGGTCTGCGGGCATGGCGGTCAGCTCCAGATCAGAACAGCTTTCTCCTAACCAGGGAGCTTGGGCCATTTTCCTTCATGTGTACACGACGTGGAGGGTGTTTTCAGTACCGAGGTGCTGTGTGGGCTCGGTTGGTTTGTTTGTTTTACTTTTGAGACCTGGTAAGCCCAGAGTTTGCTGCAGAGTCCGGGTTGGCCTCGAATTCACAGATCACCGGCCTCTGCCTCCTTTGTGCTGGGATTGAAGCTGCCATTAAATCGCTGTGTCAGACAAGAACCTCCTAAGGGTTTCTTGAATATAATGTAGTTCTGCTGAGCTACACCTCAGCCCCAGGCCATCTTCTAAAAGTCAGATTCTGTGGGCTGAACCAAGTGGTGCAAGCCTTTGAAGTACTGGACCAGCCTGGTCTGCTAGCAAGTTCCAGGTCAGCCTGGGTTTCATCTGTGGACTGATTCCCAAATAATTACGTAGGCTAAGAGCCATAGCTGTTCCAATTCTTTCATCCCTTCCTGGCAGAAATGTCTGTCTGCTTGATCCCATAAGTAAAGAAGCTTGCAGAAACTAAGTGTCCTGACAGACATTGAGAGAGAACCCTGGAGGTCCATCCTCTGGGCTTGGCTGAGAGTGTGTGTGTGTGTGTGTGTGTGTGTGTGTGTGAGAGAGAGAGAGAGAGAGAGAGAGAGAGAGAGGCAGAGAGAGAGAGAGCTGCCAATCATTCTGCCTTCAACTTTTGTAAATCAAGGAAGCCTGGGACCCAGACAAGACTAGCATTTACTTGTTGTCTCTGGCTGCTCCTAACAAGTGATTGAGCAGGGGCAGCGGGGCGTTTGGGTCACAAAGTCCTGGACTTGTTACCCACCCCTCGCAGAGCAAGGCACAGTCAGCCTCCCAGCTTCTGCAGTTTAAAGTCAACTCCAGTGGTGGCAGCTGCACGTCTACACCGCCTCTGACAGTGAAGATTGTCTGCAGAGCTGGGGGCTGTGGCAGCATCGCTCAGAATAGATGAGCTCAGAGATAGACCTAGGCACCTTACTGATGGACCTGGTGGCTCCCGGCAAAGGGAAGACGGCAGTCTGATTGAATTTATTAGCATATCTAAAGGACGGCTTGTGACTGACTACCCCGGAGGATTAGCCTGGCCTGGGAGCTGAGAGACTGGCAAAGGTGCCTACCTGCCCAGGAAAGGGGAAGCTGAGGCAGGGGACAGAGGGACAGCGTGATGTGATTAAACATTCAGCCAGTCTGATTAATGTCTTTCTGATTATGACCTCGTCCCTCTCAGTCAAGTTGTGACCTTGCTCGTTAGGAAGACCGATCAATTTCTTAGGTTTTAATCTTCCTTTCTGCATTGATATTGCTGGGACTTCAGGTATTGAACTTGGGCGAAGGGAGACCTGGACAGCCCCTCTGTGGCTAGCGACATCTGAGTCTAGACACATTTAGGGGTCTTCGGGTGGAGTGTCAGTTTCCGGTCTGTGATGCTGCTCCCACATTAATCAAAGCCATACAGATGAGGTTTCCTGAGGAGAAACTCCAGATGTTGGCCATGGACCGCGACCACTCTTTGTAGAGACTTTCCACTGGGTGTGGCTCCTTCCAACGAGAGCCTCCAGCTCTGAAGAAGCAGAAATCCCCTTGACCCTCACCCTACTCCTGTCTCTCTCTTCCTCTCAGTTTGTTCGGTTGTTCTTAATGGTGTTGTAGGGAGCAGTTATCAGTGATGCCTCTTTTTTTTTTTTTTTTTTTTTTTTTTTTTTTTTTT